GAGTCAATAATCTACTCCGATATTGTCACCCAGACGACAAACATGAGCACACTGAGTTATGGAGTGGCTATCACGATGTTATCAAGAGCACTGAAGGTTCTCATGCAGGGGGAACCAATCTCCTCCAGGATCAGGATCATGACAGCAAGGTTCAACTCAGAAGGAAGGGAAGTCACAATCATACAATGCTACAATATGCACCTACTAATAATGCAGAGCAAGAGAAAAAGGAGGAATTCTATAGACAACTGCAATCGACACTGGACAAGACCTCAGTTGGCGATATCAAAATTCTAATGGGCGACATGAATGCCAAACTGGGAACGGACAACACAGGAAGAGAACTAGCCATGTGTCGAGAAGAGCTCGGTGAGGTGATGAAGGAGAATGGAGAATTGTTTGCAGAATTCTGTGCATTCAACGATTTGGTGATTGGAGGCAGTGTGTTCAAGCACAAGGATATCTACAAAGCGACATGAATTTCACCAGGACACACTAAAAATCAGATCGACTTTATCTCAATCTCAAGAAAGTGGAGACGCAGCCTACTTGACACTAGGTCAAGAAGAGGAGCAGATGTAGGTTCAGACCACTATCTAGTGCAAGGAAACTTTCAAATCAAGTTGAAAGCCTTCAAGGAAGCTGATGATAGACCACAGTTCAAGTATAACACTCGGAGACTGAAGGACGAAACTATAAAGGAAATCTTCATGCTGGCCATCAAGACAAAATGAAAGACATCGAGCAACATCTCTGAAGGAACCTGTCTGGATGAACACTGGAAGTCTTTGAAAAAGATATAGAAAGAAACCTGCACAGCCGTATTAGGAAGGGAGAAGAAGAAAGAAGATAAGGAATGGATCTCGATGGACACATGGAAGCTGATAGAGAGGAGAGAGGAGGATGGTGAAGCAGAAGATGAACCAGTGCAAGGATGCTCAACGACAAGAGGAACTGAGTACAATGTATAAAACACTGGACAAAGAAGTGAAGAAGAGTGCATGGAAAGACAAAAGACACTTCTACGAAACACTGGCAAGTGAAGCAGAACAGGCTGCAGGTAGGAGAGACAGAGACCTGACAACATTGTATCAAATAACCGGGTTACTAGCTGAGAGGGAAGAGATCAACACAGATGAAACCAATAAAAGATGATGGAGAAAACATAATCACCAAAGAAGGGAAAGAAAGGAAACGATGGGCTGACCACTTCAAAAAATTCCTGAACCGACCACCACCACCTACAACTCATTCAGAAGTATCACCTACAGGCACAGAACTACAAGTGAACACAAGATCTTCGACGAAATTTGAAGTCCTGAACGCCATAAGGCTACTGAAATGCGGGAAAGCAGTAGGACTAGATGGAATCCCACCAGAAGTACCGAGAACAAACGCACAGACAAGAGAGGACATGTTCACACCACTACTGCAGAAGGTCTCGAAGGAAGGAAAGGAACCTGGAGATTGGGAGAAGGGCTACCTTGTCAAACTCCCAAGAAGGGAGACATAAGCCTTTGCAGGAACTGGCACGGAATCACGCCCCTGTCCACCCAAAGCAAGCAAAATATCAAACCGCATCATCTTCGAGGGACTAAAGCATGCTCTGGATTCAAAACGACGACCGGAACAGGCTGGCTGGCGGACTTCAGGAAGAACAAATCATGTGCGGATCAAATTGCACTGTTATACTATGTCTCATCATATAACAGAGCACGGAATGGCAGTCAACCCTCTACCTCAACTTCATCCACTTTGAAAAGGCTTTCGATAGCGTTGACCGACAAGTAATTTGGCAGGTAGTTGCTTCAACACTACGGAATACCACAAACTTTAACCAATCTCATTCAACAACTATGTGGAGACGCCACATGCCAAGTGATCCTCAGCGGAAAACCCAGTGACACCATTGAAGTGAAGACAGGAGTAAGACAAGGCTGCCTACCACCAGCCGTGATCTCCTTGATTGTGGGGGACTGGATCAGTCAGCAAATCGTGAGGAGCGAGAAGAGGGGCATACGCTGACTGCACCGATGAAAAGACCTTAGATAACTTGGAGTTCGCCAATGATTTGTGTCTGATATTGCACAAACTAGATGTACAGGTGAAAACTAACAAGTTGACAGAAGAGGGAGAGCAGCGAAGACAGGACTTCAAGTGAACATAGAGAGGACAGAGGTGATGAAGATACCCAACCAACTCCACCACCACTTACAACAAGCTACAATCACCATCAACACGAGAAACTTAAGAGAAGTAGCCTCCTTCATCCACCTACCTAGGCAGCATCGTCTCAACTACAGGCAGCATAGGCACGGACGAGGACGCCAAAGCCAGCCACGATCGGAAACACAGCAAGACAGGCCTTCATTAGCCTGAAATCAGTGTAGAGAGCTGCTACACTCAGCACAAAGCGTGAACAACATACGGATGTTCAACACCAACGTCAGTCAAGTCAGTGCTTCTATGTGATGGTTGAGAAACTTGGCGTGTCACGAAGAGCACTTCCAACAAACTACACATATTGATCAACAACTACCCACTCTGGCTCAATACTGAAGATTAGATGAGAAGGCGGGAAAGGATAGGCAACAAGGGACTCTGACTGGCTGGCAACGAACCAACGAAGCAAGAAGCTATCGCTGAACAAATATGCATTGGAAGGAAGTAGAGATGGATTGGGCATACATTGAGAAGACCATTTGGGGACATCACGCGTCAGGCCAGGCACTCGAGTGGAACCCAGATGGGAAGCGATAAGTTGGTTGTCCGAGATGAGGGTGACATGGAGGAGATGGTGTGAGGAGGAAATGAGAGCTTGTGGTCTGTCGTGGTGCGCGGTTAAAAAGTTTGCAGAGAATATAGTGCACTGGAGACGTGCTTCTGAATCCTTATGTTCCACTAGGAACTCAAGGGACAAGTAATAATAAATATAATAGTGTCTAACATCTATTCGTTATGCCAGCCGAAAAGTATCGCTGGTCGTATGATTTTTTTCATCTTACTTTTGACCTAATAGGAAATATTATTTTGGGGCTTTGCTCAGTTCAAGAGCTCTTGATGACCCCTCATCTATTTATATACGACTTATATTTCGAGAAATAATTGCATGTTGAGTCAATTCCATTATTTTGCATTACCACATCATTTTTTGCTTCTATTTGGTTTTTTCTTCTTCATACGTTATGGTACGTTGTAGTCACATAAGATTTAGTTATATATATAGATGAATCAAATTGTCTAAAATCTACAGATAATAAGTATCAAACATTTTGCTGTCTTGTACAAGGGTTGAGTAATCGTGTAGTTGAATGGATTGTGAGAAATTGGGTGTGAATATTCAAGACAAGTCATGTGTAAGTCGGTTAGCGTTAAGATTGAATCGGTGGAATCACATGAATGGGACAATCACAACCAGATAAAGGTATAGCAAATATGCAATAGGTTTAACTCAGGAATATAACTCTATCCAATTGTAATTCTTATTTTACACCAATATTATACTGTTAACTGGATATAGACAATTGTTAAGATGCTCTATACGACCTATAGGTTTCGTATTGGTCCGTACTAGCCAGTTAAGGATATCTACAATCCTGAAAAAAAAGTATGATCCCTCAGTGTTAACACCATCTTCATCAGCCACTTAATGTTTTGTTATTTCATGAAGCTGATAGACCACTCTACATTTCTGCATATTAAATGAAACCATCAGTTAAATAACAGTCTGCTTCCTATAACTATTCATGTTATTGAATAAGACTATTGAAGGAATGTGAAAGATTGACACATGTCAACCAGTAAAATGATAGTTGAAAATTAACAAAAATAATAATAACCACTGTAATAAACAGTTTGAAAATAATAACAGTAACGGTAATAATATTTAACATACAAAGTAACTAAGATCATTTCAGCTGATAAGCTAATAGAAAAATTGTATCATTTTTATAGAATGAATAAGAGACTGGTTATGTTATAACATTGAACATTGAACAACAAGTTATCTAGGCCTATCCATCCATCAATCAATCAGTCTAATGATTTTCCTTCATGTTAATTGATACAAGGATATTTTGTTATCATGTATGATATTTTATGTTATTTTGGATCCTTATTACATCACTATCTCATCATTTAAGTATCTTTATCTGTCCACACCTCACAAATGTATGCATACAAGCGTATAAAAACACAAAAAAAAAAACAGTAATCGATAAATGAGGATTTATTACTGTGAAAGACAGTTGTCATAATTGCCATGACTTATTCTGGTGACAGGTGAAAATGAAATATTGTACACAGATTCATTTCTGTGTAATCTATAGGTGTCTGTATGTGAGTGTGGTGTTTGTGTATGTGTATATGTGTGTATGTGTGTGTGCCAGTGTATGCCACTGCTTTAACCATGGTTCCATACGAGAAAAAATTCTTTCTCTTCTCTAACCATAAAAAAAACCCACCAAATAATATTCATATAGACGATCTACTCACAACCATACACCCATAATGTGCTACTTTAAACAACCGCTACACATATGCACAAATCCTTTTATGTACATATATCTCAGTGTACTTGTATGTATCCAAATAACTGTTCAAAGTTCAATAGGCCAAGATAAAGCTTAATTTGTTTGTATGAATGGTAAATTGATTAGTGGATTGGTTACTGTTGTGTAGTATGTATATATGTATGTATGTTTGTATAATCATAAAACTTCCTTTTTTTTCACCTTCAAATGTGTGATGTGTATAATCATTAATGCACAATAATTAGCGGAGGTAGTAGAGGGAGAGGAGGTCAACAATAAGTGGAGGCATATACACACACGTATACACGCAACACTGAATATGATTTGTGTACTAAGTGAATTCTATGTCAAGTTATGTGTATAAGCCTAGATTCGTCTATAAACGATGTCTTTTAATAAAAATTTATCATAGTATACAATTAGCAGTCATGTCTGTATATATATAAATATGCACCCAAGACAAATTTACTTTTCAAAGACAGTTGGTTACTTAAACAACTTGAAGATACAGTTAAATTCACTAACTATTACATGAAAATGTTGTTTATTTGTGTAATCAAAATTTTATTAGCCAGTTGAATATATTTTGGTATAAATAAACAATTTGACAAGAAGGAGTGAATTATTCTCTACAATACCCTCACTTTATTCAATGCATAGATTATTGTTTATATCCTGAAAAAAATTAATTAATGACAAAAAATAATAAATAATTATTTATAAACATTCAACATTCAGAAAAAAAATTTCATCTAGTAGTAAAATGCAAATATTTACATTCTGCTTTATATCATATCTTATAATTGAAGTAGAATGTACACAGGTAGGTATAGAGAATATCTAGACGTTTGATTTACTCAAGAATCCTTTTATCAAGTTGGTTATCCTGCAACAGAATTACATTTATATTTCTCGATCACAGTCTTGATTTATATCTTATTCTAATATCTTAATAAATAAACTGATCAATTAAAAATATATTGAATATTATTCTGTCTAATATCATACGGGGTAAAGATGACAATTATCATTGAAATGATATATAATCTTCAAATTCTGATAAGATTACTACTGTTTGCAATTGTCTTATCATCTTGTGTTTATACAGAGTATATTGAAAAATTTCCGAAAAAACCTTTAGACAGAATTCAATTTCCTCATAATTACTTATCAAAAACTGCTTATTTACCAAGTAGTTTATCGTTTGCATCATCATCATCATCATCATCATCATATAATACAGAAGTTGGTGTTAAGGCAGAAACACTTCATCGTTTACCTTTCTCATCTTCATCAGCTTTACAATCTTCACTTCAAATAAAAAGTCCAAAAGTAGTATCGAATTTTTATGATAAATTTTATTATGATGATGCATCAGTTGTATCATCCTCCGGATTCACTTCATTATCATCAACAGTATCATCACCATCATCCTCATCATCTCGTCTATTATTACCTCGTCTTAAGGAACATAAGATTGGTAACAGGAACATGAACCGCAATAATAGAATAAATGAACAAATTCAAAGTTTACATTTACAAAATAATGAACACAGACATGATGTGAACAAAAACCTGGTTCAACAGCCTAAACATTTTCTAAGTTATATGAAGACATATAACAGTAAAGAAGTGGATTCTATGAAATTCCCAATACCATCTTCATCGTTCTCTTCAAATAAACCAAATTTTTCTGTGATTACAAACACATCTAATCAAACAATATCAAACTATCCACAAGAAACTGTGCAACAACTACAACGAGAAGAGCAACCAATTCATGAGACTGACTTTATTACTCCAATATCATTGCCGAAAAAAGTCAACATAAGTGAAAGTAAAAATGTAGATATGGAATCTGAAATTAAAGGACGTTGGTGGTAAGTATTTGTACTTTTCTCCCTTCTAGAATGTCTGTGATTTTTTATTTATAGATAAAAACATTCACTTTGAAGGTTTATAAAGAATGATTAACTTGATAAAATGGTAGTGTCGATGACTCAGTGATATCATTTGGAGAGCTAATAAAGACCTGAAAAGCACTGGATAGCTGTTTAGTTATACTATGAGACTTTTCAGTAGATCACACCCAATACTTCAGAAAGAATCCAACACAGGAAACTTAGGTCTTGTAATCACTATCTTATTATTCACCTATCAGGTTTGAATCCAATATTCCTTATTCTCCTACTTCTCTCAATTCACACTATAGTCTGCTTATTATCAAAAGTTTTCCTCATACCCGATTTAAGTGATCCCATAAATCATAGCTTCTCATCAAAACTTCAAGAAATTCGGTCATTCATCAACCTTAAACAATAATTCTATAGTAATCAGAATAAAAGTTGAAAAAAGCCAACTGACAGTTAACAAGATACCTGAATTATGAGACTTCAGAAAGCTTTTTCAGTATCTAACCTTGAAAGGTTAATAAAAGTGTAGAATTACTTATTGACTGCTACTTGTTTAGTGAGTAGTTAGCGAAGATTGACACTGAAATGTTAATTTGAAGAAGGGAAAACATCTGAAGTATCATTGATTAAAACAGACGAAAATACATCAGTTTAATTGATGTAAAAACCTGCACATAAGATTTTTTTCACATGAATTATAAGTAAATTGAATAGGATTCAACGGTGATGGATTCTGTCTTTGATTAGATTTAACTCAGAAGGTACTAGTATGTACTTGTGGATATTTAGACACCTACATAAGAAATTATAAGTACCAATAAATAGTAATGACTGATACGCGTTGCACAAAACATGATTGTTGTACCTCAGTGACCTAATGGGTAATACATTGGCGTTTGAAGCTATGGGTTCAGGGTCCGAGTCTAAGTGGGAACAATATCACTCACTACGGTGAAGGTATACACTGCCGACAATTCAGTTGTAAATAGGACAAAATGTGGCTATTCACCATGAAGAAAATTACATCACAAGGAATAATCAGGTAATATCAAGGTATCTGCTCAAGGGACCATACACCATCACTTCGATCCAAAATAACAACAGGAAAGTATAAGTATGAATAAATAATTCTACAATGATATCTAAGCTGGATTTAAGACATTTATCTAATATTCTATTTAACGCTGTCTACACAAACCTGATGTTTTCAAAAATTCTGCGTGAATTTGTACTCTGAAGTAATCATAAATCTAGTATAAAATATTTGCCAACCAAACTTTCTCCCTCAGATGACAGTATTATATTATATCATTATTTTCCCCTGGGTTCCTAGTGGAACATAAGGATTCAGAAGCACGTCTCCAGTGCACTATATTCTCTGCAAACTTTTTAACCGCGCACCACGACAGACCACAAGCTCTCATTTCCTCCTCACACCATCTCCTCCATGTCACCCTCATCTCGGACAACCAACTTATCGCTTCCCATCTGGGTTCCACTCGAGTGCCTGGCCTGACGCGTGATGTCCCCGAATGGTCTTCTCAATGTATGCCCAATCCATCTCTACTTCCTTCCAATGCATATTTGTTCAGCGATAGCTTCTTGCTTCGTTGGTTCGTTGCCAGCCAGTCAGAGTCCCTTGTTGCCTATCCTTTCCCGCCTTCTCATCTAATCTTCAGTATTGAGCCAGAGTGGGTAGTTGTTGATCAATATGTGTAGTTTGTTGGAAGTGCTCTTCGTGACACGCCAAGTTTCTCAACCATCACATAGAAGCACTGACTTGACTGACGTTGGTGTTGAACATCCGTATGTTGTTCACGCTTTGTGCTGAGTGTAGCAGCTCTCTACACTGATTTCAGGCTAATGAAGGCCTGTCTTGCTGTGTTTCCGATCGTGGCTGGCTTTGGCGTCCTCGTCCGTGCCTATGCTGCCTGTAGTTGAGACGATGCTGCCTAGGTAGGTGGATGAAGGAGGCTACTTCTCTTAAGTTTCTCGTGTTGATGGTGATTGTAGCTTGTTGTAAGTGGTGGTGGAGTTGGTTGGGTATCTTTTCACACCCATGGGGACTATATTTTGGTCTTAATTTTGATCACATAGTTTAAAATGAGATATTTTACCCACTTGCTATTAACAACTAACTCTATAAGTTTTTTTGTTTTTGATTGGTAGTAAAGTTTTCCATATCTCTGGTATAGGTGTTGCGTCATTCCTATTACATGTGTTGGGTGTGGATTCGATGAACAAAGATTCAGTAATTAATCTCTCTCTCCACCTAGCTATATTAGACTTAAAAGTTCCAATGACAAGTCGTGACCGGTGGAGTCAAGCCTGATGGCCGTGAGGAGAAATACTCAACGATGACATTGGGTGGCGGTTTGCGCTATATCGTGAGCTAACAGAAGTTGGAAATATGGAGCATTAGATTCTGACCCAGTGGCTCAATGGTAACGCGCTGGTCGCGGAACCTGATGGTCGCGGGTTCGATCCCTGCTGGTGGGTTCGTGGGTGCGCACTGCTGAGGAGTCCCATGCTAGGATGAAACAGCTGTCCAGTGCTCCCAGGTTTCCTTTGTTCCTCCAACTGATGTCAGTCTTCGATGAATAACAACTTGAAATATTTCCAAATCTCCACAACCCCCTCAAAATTTAATATTAGACTTAAGTACAGTGGTTTTGTCCCATCCTATTGTGTGGTTGTGTGTTAATGAATGTAATGCAATGGCTGAGTGTTTTTCTAGGTTATTGATCTTATTGGGGTCTGCCGTTCTATGTTTAGCTAAATTCCTGTTCTGTTAATCTAACTGACCCCGACCGGCTAGTTCTAGAATTGTTCCCGGTCACGGGGCAAAATATATTGAATGACGAAAGGAAGTTAATTAAAATATATTTGTGTTTAGAGTGGGAAAATAGACAGGGGATTATGAAATTAAATGTAATTACGTAATACAGGATGAATGTATGGCAAAGTAGGAAACTGAACGAAGGGTTATGGAGATAGAACTGCGATTATGTAATACCGGATAAACATGTGACAGAGTATGAGAATAAACCAGGGATCATGAAAATAGGATTGCCATTACTTAATACAGGTTCGATCTATGACATAGTATAAAAATGGATAGGGTATACATGTGCAGTTACCTGATACAAAATGAATCTGTGGCAGACAGGGCTTTATGATGGCCATGACAAAGATAAAGGTTGGACGGAGAACTGTAAATACTTCGACGAACTCTAGCGGAAAACGAGTTCCCGCTTAGATTCACAGATTTTCTGCACGCATAAAGCTGGTTTGAACTTCTGGATGGCTAGTGCTTCAGCTATAGACAGATGCCTTGATTTTACTCCCTTCAAGTGGTTTAATCGAACCCTGTAGAGAATTTTGAAAGAGCTCTCGAAAGGAGCTAAGTGGCCTGGGTTCACGAGGTGTTCTGTTATCGAACTGAAGATGCATTTCTGTCATTTAATATATTTTGCCCCGTGACCGGGAACAATTCTAGAACACTCTACCCACTCCAACAGATATTCACAAATGTACAGCTTAGTAAATGACTTCATCGAAAAGAAAAAGTTTTCTTCTGTGAAACCACGTCTTGTCTAATCCAGATTTATTAGGTTGGAATGACTACTTCATTTAGTATTAATTTTCCAAATCCCCACAACTCCCTCAAAATTCAATTGAACTGGTGCTCATTGGTGACTAGCTTCGAGAGGTATTCCCTAAGTTCCAATGAGAAGTCGTGAATAGTGGGGCAAAGCCTGATGGTCGTGAGGACAGTTACTCAACGATGACATTGGGTGGCGGTTGTGCTATATCGTGAACTAAGAGAAGTTTGAAATATGGAACATTGGATTGTGACGCAGTGGCTAGTTCAATGGTAACGCTCTGGCTGCGGAACCTGAAGGTTGTGGGTTCGATTCGTGGTGGTGCGGAGTCGTGATTGTGCACTGCTGAGGTGTTCTATACTAGGATGAAGGAGCTGTTCAGTGCTCTCAGGTTTCCTTTATTCCTCCAACTGATGTCAATCTACGATGAATAACAACCTGAAATATTTCCAAATCCCCACAACTCCCTCAAAAATATAAATTCGATATCCCAAGTGTTTATTTGTCCTGAAAGCTGATTTGTTTACTCATGAAACTGAGAATTAGAGGAGAAAATTTTTTAAATTGAAGAATATGCTAATTATGACAAAGTGAGTGAAATAGATTTTTATTTCGCTAACTATGTACCAACTAACATGAAAAGTCAAGGATTTTAGCAACTGGTCAATTTTGTAAGAATAAGGAGGAAATAATATGAGCTGGAGAAGATCCTTTGCTAACAAATTTTAGTCCAATGTATGAAGAAATTTCGTATACTTCAGTCGCCATTTTTTATATATCTCTAACCAGTTACTTGATAGAGCCTGAATTACGTGAATGTGGATGCATGTACAAGTACTTTCAAATTCCACTCCTTGCTGAATACTCAGTTTCTCCGTTAACAGAACAAGGCGATAATAGAACAGGTGTATTTTGCAACGTCAATAATATATACAAATAACAAGGCCTAGGCTATTTCCAAGTCCTATTCATTTTTCATCTCTTCAACCAACCTGATACACCTACAAGTTGGTTTATGAGTTTTTTTCCCAAATTTTTTTAGAAAAACGACTGGGTGAAAAAGGCTTCAAGTATGTGCAACTTCCTATGAAGATTTTATTATTCTTTCCATATACTATAAGAACTAAAATAAATTGAAGTTAGAATTCAGTTAACCCTGAGAGACAATGAAACCGATTGCAAAGTAGAACTCCAGTAACATTTAGAGTATAGTTTTTATTGTTGTTCAGTGAATATTTTAAAATCTGTACAAATGTTTGCAAGACTTATCGAATTACTTCTAATAATAGTATTTCGATATTTTCAAATTTAATATGGTTGTTTATGATGCGTAAAGTGTTCAGGAATCCTTTTTAATCATGT